TAGTTGAAAGATAAAACTTAAAAATAAAAATTTTGTAACAAATTATATATACTGTAGATTGAACTAATTAAATATAATAGTAACTAAGCTACTAACTTGTAAGATGAAAATGTACAGTACATACAGTATAAGCTACTTGTATATCATGAGGAGAGAACAAGGGAGTTCTATCTGACAGACAATTTTATAGAATAATTTGAAGTTTAAAGTTTTGCTATCTTTTGCAGATAGAACCAAATTTTCATGCCAAAACTTGCCTCTAGGCCTCAACTGCTCATAAAACGAGCAAACTCTGTGTTAACAGAAAGATATTTATCTAAATAACAGATTTAAAGTAAAAAATGTAGACAGAACTCTCTGGTTTACATCTCACAATATATGTATGTTGATAAAAATCTTTCGATTTTATTAACAAAATTTAATAATTTAATCAATTTGTCATTAGTAAAAAGCTTAATTATCTAATGAATTAGCATAAAAAAAGCTTTGGTAAATATTAATCAAACATGGTATAAAAAAAATATTACTCCGAGAAAATTTTCATAATCATAAGTTTGACTTTGGAAGGCTGAGAACTAAATTATCTTGAATAAACAAAAAGCAATAAAATAAATATTCTGAGGTCAGATAACTGAAGCTGATTCTGAACTATGCTATTTTGAAATGATAAAAGTTAAAAAAAACCTCTAAATTATATTTTATTATACAACAAAATATAATCTGAATTCAAAACTTTATAATGATTAGTTTAGTAAATAAATTCATTAAATTTGAATAGAATTAAGCATTTTTGGGATATTAAATATAGAATTTGTATTGTTTCAAACTTTTAAAAACCCATTTATGCTTAAGCATAGTTTTTTAAATCTGAAAACATTGAAAACCGAAATCAATTACTAGAAAAAAATCCTATTATTTCATGTTTTATTCAATTTTGTTAATTTAATTTCATGTAATTACATAGTTCACATTTGTTAATACACTAGTCTTTAATTTGCTTAATACTAATAGTTAAATTCAGATAAATTAATTCTAATAGAATGTTGAAGTTTTTATACAAATTTACAAAACTTCCTGGTAATAATGCTCTTTGAATCAATATTGAATTGTGTATTTAAATTTTAAAGCTGTAAAATTTAATATTGTTTGATTTAAGATAATAATTGATAAAAAGTTTTTAGTTCAAATCTGGCAACTAAAAAATATTCAACCCACACAAAATTGAAAGTTTTAAAACTAAGGAATTGCTTTTCATAGAAAAAAGTTATTATTAAATTAAATTCACATCTAGCAAATTACAGAGAATAACTAACATTTTATTAAATTAACATTTTAATAATATATTTTTTTTAGTTTATCAGATCAATGAATAGTATAATAATAATAATAATATGCACACAATTATTAGTAATTACTAAAAGATCAGTTGTTAATAAACTGCTATTTATCATCAACAAATTTTTTAACACGTAGGCTAATTTCTGTGGATATAATATAAATACTGTAGTAGCAAAGCTCAGGATTAAACTACCTTTATAAGCTTGCAAGCACATACAAATGACAAAGCACATAAATAAATTCCAAACCTATCTGAATAATAATTAAAATATTGTTTGTCAGCTTAATTTTGTTTTTATAAATATAAAAGTTCCTAAAAATATTTAATATGAGAAAAATAATATTTACAATATACTATTAAATATGCTTTAAATAAATATAATTAGTTCACATTTTTTATCATTTTTGTTCAATAAATAAAGACTCAATAATAATAAATTTAATTATATATTTTTTAAATCTAACACTAGAAATTTTTTCTAATAAATAAATAAATAAAGAATTAAACTTCTAAGTTACAGTGACAACTTCAATATCAACTTATTCTAAAAACAGCCTTAAACAAATATTTAATTCCAACCAATCTGANTGTCTGGACATTATTTAATTATTATACATCAAATAATTTATGAACATACAATGAAAAGTTCATACATTAAATAATACAAATGCGACTCATTATTTTAAATGCTTCAATTACCAATTTAACATAAAAATTCTGATTTTGACATTTAAAAAGTATATAATTAAAATCTTTATTAACTTCAGGACAATTCAACCAGCAAACTGCACATAATCATTGTAGTGATAATATAAAGGTACTATTTTCATTATATGTTAGTGCATAATTAAATTGTAATCAATAATTACAGATAATATTAAACTAGAACAAAATCTTTCGGTTTGATTATTATTATTCATCGCATCTTTCTGTTAAATTTTTATCTTAATATAGCTTCATTAAAAAAAAAAGGAATTGCATTAAGAAAACAATTTTCTTCATTTCCTTTTTTTTCCAGGAAGTCTGCTTTATATCAATCAAATTACAGATTTCTCTTAGCACATATTTTGAATTCATCATGCAATATTCATTTCTTGAATAATAATGTGCTATATTAATAGAGCATTCAATGCACATCTATTAGACATTATATAAATATTTATTTTTCTATACATATTTCTGTAGTTTATTTTTACATTTGTTAACATTCTGAGAAGTTATTCTATTTGGACTTTTCCTATACATTTTTTTATATTTTTTTGAGATGAAATTAAATCTATAATAACTGTATATAGGTTTTATTTTATTATTAATTAACTAGATCAATAAAGTAGGCTAAGTAGTTAATCATTTCAATTTTTAAGTATGACAACTAATTTTTTGTCAAAAATTACTTTCAAATGGGTTATTATATATTTGTTTATGTATGTGTATGCAACTATATATACTTAGCATCAATTATCAGTTAGTGTCACCAGTTTTTGATGTCCTGAGAGAAACTCTATATTTAGTGTACATTTAACTCTGTTTAAGGAAAACCTAATTAATGGTTATGTCAACTTTTTCTCTAGTGCAGTGTATATATATAGTATACTAAGCAATATCAGTTAGCATCAGTGACCTTCCACTTACCTGACAGAATTATTATTATTGCTTTCAGAATATTTTAACAAAATAAAAAACAACAATTGAATTTGCTTATACTTAAAATTTCAATATTTTTCAGTAGATTTCAGTATTTCAACCCTTAAAGGCTGTTCCACAGAAGCTGATACTAACAAGAATCCAGTATATCCTAAACACTGTAGTAATAATTATTAACTGAGTCTATAAAATTATAAATCCATTCATTACTTTATCAGTAGAATAGAATTTATTAAAATATTTATAATTTATTTATTTTAAAATTGCATCAAACCTTGCTGGCATTTAAATTCAAATTATGTTTTATTGTAACATATAATTAAAATTATTAATCATCATTAAATTTATTTTCTTAGTTATTAAAGTATATTTTATTAGCAAATTCAATTATGTAAAATAATTATATTGAAATAAAATTAAATCTAAATTAATAGTTTCATAGAACTATTATCATAAAATTGTTATTCATTTACATTATAAATCAATTAAAATGAATAAACTTTGCTAGATAATTGTGAAACAGCATTATTTCTATGGGTCATATCTGACAATTCATTAACTGTTTTTCATTTTTTTTAAATTATTGTTCATACTAAGTCCATGAAATAAATTTTTGTTATTTTCCTACGTTAGAGTAGTTTGTCTGATTGTAGTCTGCTAGCTTCCAAAGAATATGTCCTGTATACTGAAACTAGGTCATGTTTTATATATGCATAATGTACAAATAATTGAAATGACTTTTCCATAAAATTAATTTATGGAAAATATTATTAAATATAAAAATATTTAATTATTTTTACAATATATTTAAAAATTAAACAATTTACAATAATCTATTAGTTTGTTTCACTTATCTAATTGCTATTCATTTATCCTTTAAGATTAAAAATAAAAACAGATTGCAATTATTAAAACATGTATAAATAAACTACTTGTTTAACTAAATTATAATTATTATTTGAGAATATACTATGCAAAATATTTAATAATACAGTATGTATAAAATTTTGTGCCATCAAAATTACTTGTTTTAGTATATATATACAGGTGAAAGTTTTTGAAAAGACTAATATGTATAAACAGTTGCATTGTAATCTTACCGTGGATTTTATCACAATAAATCATATTTTTATCAATATGTATTCTACCAAATGCACATGCACATTGATATTTTAAACAATAATGAATTTATTTATACAGACTTTTTATATAAAAGTATTTATATTGGTTTCTCTGCCATGAAGCAAGTGACAATTCATGCAAAAAACAGGATTATTATTTTCCTTGGGTGGCCAATTAGATTATTATTGATTCTTAATACCAATCAAACTCATCCGGTATCCATGTAATTTCCTATTTCTGTAGCCGTTCTCTAATGTAGACAATTATAATAATGTACTATTTTACCAATAAAACTTATGTATTAAATTACTCGTCAATACAATACAGTGGATATCCGATTAATGGATATCCAATTAATACGGTCAGTATCAAGAATCAATGATTACGGGGTTTGGTTTATTAGTTACAATAACAGGACACTTGTGCAATCTGGTCCCCTTTAGGTATTACCAGTGTGAAGAAAACCCAGAAAACTCCACAAGGCCAGCCCATCGGATAGGTGCGAACCCGGGACCGACAACCGGCGGTTTCATCCGTTCGACCGCCGGCGGGCACATCAATAATAACGAAGATTATTTTTACGACAGCTTGGTGAATTAAAGGTATAGACAGGCATTTTGTAACAGTAATTTCTTGATGTAGAGTATTTATTTATGCATTCATGTATGGAAATTTCACAGCTCGACATTTCTACAGGATATAAAATTTTGCAATTCAAATATCCTGTTAAACGACCGTCGAGTACGAGCAGAGAACACGAGGAATGGGTGATAACGCATTTCCCGCGAAGTCACTCGCGTTCCAATAAATAATAAACAACACGATTACTCGAAATTGTTGCCATTACGATACAATAAACGCATTTTGTATACCGGTTAATAAAAGGCTAACTCACTTTTGGCAGCACCGAGAAGTTCCTTCACCTCTCGGATAAGACCTTTGATCGCCTGACTTGTCTTGTCCAGCTCCTTTTCGTGGGCGTGAAGTTTTTCGCGGAAGTAAGGACTGTCCGTCAGACATTCTGTAAATTCTAAAGGCTGAAGACCCATATCGTTGTTCTTTCGTTATAAATTAGCAAATAATTCCTTCTATGTACAAAACGACATAAACTAAAAAACTGAACGAAACTAACATCTCTACTACGGTAGTTTAAGAAATTACTGCTGGGCGACGTTAAAGTCACTCTTGTCGGTAAGTGTTGCCAACCTTTTTAAACTACATACGCAATCGAAGCATTTTGAACTTTTTAATATTGGAAATTTTTTTTTAAAAACACTAAATTAAATTAAAATATTATTGATTATTATGCATTTTAATTTTCATTTTTAAAAAGTGATTAATCAAAATAAAATTAAACTCTAATAGAAATTATCTATATTTTATTTATTTATTCTTTTCTTTAACTCTTTCCGGCCTGTGGGTACTTTGTTTATTGTATATTGTTTATGTTAAGTTATTGCAACGCAACACTAAGGCGATCTGCCTAGGGGGTGCTTTTCGGGCGGTGTTTTTAAGGTAAACTGGTCCTATTTAGGCGTTACAAACGTGGAAAAAACCCAGAAAACTCCACGTGGCTAGCCCTTCCGAGCGAGGCGCGAATCCATGACCGAACTCCCAGTGTTCAGGATACGAAGACCGCTTGGCCACTGGTGGGCACTATGGATACTAATAAGGTCTCTTATAGCAAGCCAATTATGGGTTCGGCCAGACCCACAATGGGGCGGCTGGGTGGTGAGGGATGGGGCCTGACATATCCGAACGGTTCATATCCCGTCCATATCCTGAAAAATTCTTATGATTTTCTGACTCATCGGAATTCGATCCCGGATCTTCCGGAGCGACAGAATGCAACCTTAACAGCTTGGCCAAATGGCCAAGCTGTTAAGGTTACATCCTGTCGCTCCGGAAGTTATTTTATTAAAATAAAAGATTGTTAAAGTTCTATTTTTATTCATTCATGTAGAGTCATTTTGTTTTATAATACAATATAATGTTACAGATAGTATTTAACTATAAAAAAACAACATTTTAAAGTTTGAATTACGTTACATATTTTGTAGTACGAAATTTTATTAAGTATAATTTTTGTCTAACTTTTCACATCTGTGGACAGTGAAAGGTCTTTATAACAGATTAACAGATTTAACAGGGCTTTGACCATGCCTGCAATTGAGTGAACAGACTTGTCTATTAAAGCCAAAGCAGAAAGCTACGGCGACAATGAGCATAAACAGTGGGATTAATTAACCACATTGGCAGATTGTCAAAATCATAACAGACGATTGGTGGAAACAGTAGTCGACGTTGTCTTAATTTTGTTATCTCTGTGCTTGGTCTTTGCGGATTGCTAAGCTCTTCCTAAAACTTTCTAACAATTCAACCCATTCTATAAGTTAGGTCTATCAGATCAGCGCGGCGACGTCTTATTTGCCACCGATAGCCGAACGGTTAAGGTGTCAGCTTACTTCTTTGACACCCGGGAACGAATCCAATGCGAACAGATAGAAAACCCCCAGGAATTTTTCGGGAGTAAATTCTTGGATATAAATGATTCCCTCACCACCTATCGCTCCATTGTGGGCCTAGCCAAACCCACGATAAACGTGAGAAACATTGTATTAGTGCCCACAGAGTAAAAAAAACAAATCTAAGGGACAATCCGACAATAAAATCAATCTCACCTGTATTCGTTAAGTATCGCTGAATTCGAATTCAATACATTATGTTCATGAATATCCACAAGATGAAAAATGTTTCATATTATTTTCGTTGACTTTTTGGAGAATTACGAATATTCCAATACAGTAATTATAATAGAACAAACCCGATGAAAATAATTCGATTGTTTTAAACTAATCATAGGAAATTGACCACAAGGAACAAACTAACGGACTCTACATATTTGAAACAGATTTAATGATAACTCAAATTTAATGTTTGAAGATCCTTTCATTGTAGACCAATCGAATACACCGGTTCTAATCCAATGAGAATATGGTGCACGAGTTCCTTGTCAATATCATATTTTATTCTATAGAAATTTTATAGATTATAAAATATAATTTAAACGGATGTTCCTAAAAATAAATTGTATATTTAAATACAATTTTTATCTTTTAAAAAATTTTAAAAAATTCAAATAATTTATTCAATAGAAATATGCTTGAGAACTCTTAATGTGAATCCTCAAAACTAAATAAAATTATAATTTATGAAAACATTGTGTAAATTGTAATCATGGTAAAGGCTGGTAAAAGCAGGGATGGGGAGTCCGCAGAAAAGTATACGACTTCCGACTCCTCATCCATGGATAAAAGCTGACTAACAAAATAAATTTTATTATAAATAACAGAGTCCATCAGTAAATGTGGTATTAAAATTTTTAATGTGTTTCTGTTTGTTAATTTATGTCAACATCAACACTTGGGCGATCTGCCTAGGGGAATGCCTTCCGGAAGGACTTTCTAAAGGATAATTGGCCCCTATTCAGGCGTTACAGACTTGGAGAAAACCCGGAAAATTCCACGTGGCCAACCCGTCCGGGCCAAACCGTCCCACGACCAGAACTCCCAGTGTTCAGGGAACAGGAACCGCTTGGTCACTGTTGGGTCTTAAATTTTTAATAATAATCTAACGGGTATCTATGACTATTTGAATTATTTATTGGAATATTTTGCCGTTAATTTTAAATATAGGAAAAAATTTGTTATTTCAGTTATTCAGAAAATTCTTTTTTAACTCCTTTTTCTTTTTACTGTGCGTGTTTTACTGCACATTCTTTGTTAATTTATAACTTTCCGTTTGTCCTGTAATTATATTTAATGCATATTTTTCGAATCCTTTATATAGATGGACGAATAAGGTATCAGCTAACCTCTGTGTGATCCGAGATCAGAATACGAATGGGCAATTTCCTGGGAATGTTTTATAGGAGGTCAGTCCCAGATATGTCTGACCCATCCCTCACTACCTGGCCCCTACTGTATTAACTACACTACTTGTACTCAGACGGATCTAAGTTAGCTACGAAGCTACTAGGTAGTTGAGGAGGAATCTCGTTGGCAAATTTCTTCTGAATAGTTGGCAAAGTCACGGCACGAAAACAAAAACATGTATTTTTCGGAATTAAAAGTAATATACCCGAGTAAAGAAGACCGTGAGAGATGGGGAGAATGGGGGAGGAGAGCTAGCCTTCTTGACTGACGTTTTAATAAACTATCAGTATCAGACATAGGTACCAGTTCATAAAATCAGTCTCCAAACCCTCATGCCTCTTTAATAATAAATCTCTAAATATGGCCATGGCTACAAGAGCTTAAACCCTCCCGATTAACACAAAAATTAAAGTTTGCTTGTTCAAACTTTAAAATATCCGGATCTAGGATACCAAAAGCGATAGGCTATCAACATAACCTCTCGGCCGTCCGTCGGTTTTTGAGATATCAGCAATCATTACACTATAATCTACACGATTACTCATAAATAATAACAAAATAGAAAAATTTACTCGATTAAGATTATTTGAAATATTTTATTACATCGCAAAGCATGAATACAACGTGTTTAGCAATGTAATGAAGGTGTTTAAATTATCTGCAGGCCTATAATACACAAGACATTAGTGGCAATATCAACATATTTTTTAATCATAAAGTGAAATTTGCTGTTTTGTTTGCGTAATAACTATTCCGGAGTAAGAGTAAGATAAGATAAGGACCTATAATTATTATAGTTTCCTGATTTCACATAAGTCAGAAACGAAGAAACAAGAGGCATAACGTGAATAATGCTATTCGATACAGCTAGTAAGGATGTATAGTGTTATATAATAGTATTTCATTTGATACTGTCTGTTTTCTTCATTACATACATTCAAAAATAATTTTTACAGAGAAGGTTTTTTTTTTTTAATTTTAAAAAACAAAAATGAAAATGATTAACATACANTTAAAATCAGATAAAATTTATGACAAGTGCACTGAGGAATGAAATTTTCATTCATTTACTTTTTAATGTTTTTTTATTATTATTTTCTTACTTTTACTGCAAAAAATCGCATAATATTCATATCTTTTACATTTTCTGATAATATTTAAATCGAAATTAATTGATATTTTAATTGATTGGCGTTTTAAATTTATAATATCATGGTATCTAAATCAGAAATTACTATGAATGCTTACGTATTTCGTTTTTCATACGGAGAAATTAAGGTTACCACGTCCTTAAATTACAGGAAAAATCATTATTTAATGCCAAGGTAATGTTTAAAACAATTCTTTTCAACCTGACTTTCATTACAACAGCTGAATCCTATAAATCAAGTTAGATAAGTAAACATTGTATAAATTGACACAGTACTACTGTATATCCAGGATTTTGATAATATGAGTGCTGTTTAGGTGTATGATACAAATTTCTGTCTGAACTTTCCAAACTATAAAATAACATTACTTTAGAATAAATGAAAGTACTTGACATCTTTTACTTTAGCCAGTTATTTACTTGTCAGAACCTGTAATATCTGGAATAATTTTGCTTACGCTGTCTTAATTTTTAATCATACCCAGTAGCTTTAATAACTGCGTTATTTAAGGTTGTGCAAATTGGGCGAGAATACAAACGAGTACGAAGTCTGCAAGTATGAAGTTTTTCTTTATAAAATTGATTATTAATTAAAGCCAAGTATCGGGCTATAAGCTCGTTGCCTCTATTAAAACAACCGAGGTAGACAAATCGAGAATAATAGATAGCAAAAGAGGTACTACTGCAACGCATTTCGAACGTATTAAATTACTTTTAAAAATGAAAAATAATTATATCATTCGAGAAAAATAATTAATTCTATCCCAGGATTTCACGGGATACCGAGAAACAGTTCACTTTTTTTCGGAATCCCGAGACAAGCAAAAGACAGGGAAATGAGAAAACACTAAAATTTAGAAGATATAATAAGATTTCGTGATGTAAGTTGATTGATTTACAAAAACACCTGAAAGGAAAACAAATTATTTTATAAGAATCGTTGATTTATAAAGATTACTTATCTTTCTTGATTTATAAAATATGAATTTTGTACTTTTGAATATTAATTTTTATCACATCAATACTTTTGTATTTACATTAGGAGGAGTAATCTTATGACTCGTTCAGTTAAAAAAATTATCTGAAAAATTTCTTATTATCATCTAAAAATTCGAAAGATAATAAAAATTTATTATTATTATTATTATTTAAATTAATTTGAAATATTATACAGTGAGAAATTAATCATTTCGTAATTATTGAATTAATGTTCCTACGTCACTAGTTCTAATTATCTTAATAATTAAGCAAAACTAATAAAAAACTCATGAAATATAGGCCCACCAGTGGCTGAGTGAATCACCAAACACTAAGTCACTTGCTCACTACGTGGTGTTTTCTGGGTTTTCTTCACCTGAATAGTGTGTTTCCTTTAGTAGATCTTTCAAGTTTCCAGAAGGCACTCTGTTTATTTTAAAAGGAAATACAATTAATTTATCGAAATCTCTTATTTGTACACGTCTGTGAAAAGCCATCCAAGTACAAAAGTCAAGGTCAGTAAAGGATACTCCATAAACAAATTCAAAAGTTATCAGATAGGAAAAAATTGATAAGAAATTAATTATTAATTTTATAGGAGGTCAGTCCCAGATATGTCTGACCCATCCCTCACTACCTGGCCCCTACTGTATTAACTACACTACTTGTACTCAGACGGATCTAAGTTAGCTACGAAGCTACTAGGTAGTTGAGGAGGAATCTCGTTGGCAAATTTCTTCTGAATAGTTGNAAAAGTTATCAGATAGGAAAAAATTGATAAGAAATTAATTATTAATTTAAGCAATGAAACAAAGCTGGAACTTATCTTAACATTAATCAATACCACACTTTCCTTACGTCTCCAGCAATATATATAAACCTTACAAAATCGTGCGTGTATGTAGATGTGTGTGAGTGTGTATGTTGTATTATATCTCAAGAATGAATGACTCAAAAGTTTTGAAGCTTTGCACGATTATTTCTATGTATGGGGCATTAACTGTGTTAAATTTTGTAAAGTCAGTGAAGAGTAGATATTGAGAAGATCTCGAGTAGAGTCAGACTTAATAAAAATTATTCTTGCATTTACAATTTCTCTAGAATCCCAGCCTTACTCCACAAAATAAGTTTTTGCCTTATTATAATAATTAATAATATAAAAGTTATTATTTTTATTTCAAGGTTTTAGACTCAGTTTTATTTAAAAATCTCAATTTAAAGATAAAATATAAGTTTTACTAGATTAATATCATTTCGTAATCTATAAATTTTTAGAATGTTTTACCAGGAAAAAATGTATCTTATGAAACATACAAATGACCTTTCCTTGTTTATGGAAATTATAATTTTTTTTTATAAATTAATCTATCGATTTTTCAATGTATTATATTTAAATTTTATAAACTTATAAATATAAATTAATAATAGCATATGATTATATTAAAAATTTATAATATAATGTGAAATGAGCTCATTTTAACAGTTAAATAAAATATAAAATTTTCTGTTGACTGCCTTTAGAAAATTCTGCCTTTAGAAAATTCGAGGAGTTTTTTATAATGATTAAACAAAAACTCTTCCTCTTCCTCTTAAAATCAGATAAAATTTATGACAAGTGCACTGAGGAATGAAATTTTTATTCATTTATTTTTTAATGTTTTTTTTATTATTACTTTCTTAAATTTACTGCAAAAAAAATCACATAATATTCATATCTTTTACATTTTCTGATAATATTTAAATCGAAATTAATTGATATTTTAATTGATTGGCGTTTTAAATTTATAATATCATGGTATCTAAATCAGAAATTACTATGAATGCTTACGTATTTCGTTTTTCATACGGAGAAATTAAGGTTACCACGTCCTTAAATTACAGGAAAAATCATTATTTAATGCCAAGGTAATGTTTAAAACAATTCTTTTCAACCTGACTTTCATAACACTCCTTAGTATAGCATGATTTTCTGATGCATGATAATGATCAAAGACCATATCATTTTCCCTTTATACAAGGTCAAAGGCACTAAAGTATAATCAATAAGAGGCCTTCCCCTTCACCAAACATATAACAAATAAGAGAGGCCTTTTCTTTCCAGCAAATAGTGGTAAATTTTAAAGAAAAACCCAAAAATATAGCTTATTCAACTTACATATAAAATTTGAATATTTATATATATATATATATATATATATATTCGTGTCGCTTGCCAAATCTAATTTAAAATATTAATTTGCCTAACTTTAGGGCCTCGCTCTTTAAAATTTATTGCTATTTTTAATGGAAGAAAGGCGTCGTAAATTATTATAAAACGAATAAAGTTAAAAAAATATTTGCAGCAATTTTAACTTGCATTTAGCTTTTAATTCAATTACAGATAAATCGAAAGTTAAAACTACGAATTAAATAAATGGCAGAGGAAAGCGAAAACATATTATTCACTTTATTATAATTAATTCAAAGTACTGTGTAATACTTTAATACTTTAGCTTTGAATAAAATATGAGTAATGTTTGTGGTTTAAATGAGAGAATTTGCGCGTTATACACCGATCAAAGCAACAGTATTGTAGTTTCTANTGTAATCGGTTATCCGAAACATCGATCTTCCGAACAACTCTAGTCCCCAATTGATTCGGATAATAGACGCTCTACTGTATATTCGTGTCGCTTGCCAAATCTAATTTAAAATGTTAATTTGCCTAATTTTAAGGCCTCACTCTTTAAAATTTATTGCTATTTAATAGAAGAAAGGCCTCGTAAATTATTATAAAACGAATAAAGTTAAAAAATATTTGCAGCAATTTTAACTTGCATTTGGCTTTTAATTCAATTACAGATAAATCGAAAGTTAAAACTACGAATTAAATAAATGGCAGAGGAAAGCGAAAACATATTATTCACTTTATTATAATTAATTCAAAGTACTGTGTAATACTTTAATACTTTAGCTTTGAATAAAATATGAGTAATGTTTATGGTTTAAATGAGAGAATTTGCGCGTTATACACCGATCAAAGCAACAGTATTGTAGTTTCTAAAGACTATTTTGTTAAAAATAAAGATTTTAAATATATTAAAGTATCAGATAATGCTTTTTTAGTGTGATTTCAACAATCCGGATGCTTGTAAACTTATGCAACTTTCTCAGGAAATAGATTTTTATGAGGTGAGCTCATACATACTGTAAATGTAAACAGAAGCGATTACATTTGATTGCAAAATAAAAATTTTTTCTATCAACGCATATTCAAAATGTAATAAATAATACGATAATATACGATATATTAAAGTCGAATTTCGATTTAACGTCATCATTTGTTTTCGTCGAAGCTGACGTTAAATCGAGTTTTGTGCAAAATTTGAGTTTGAAAGCTTGAAAGTCACATGGTGGCATATCGATAACGATGACATTTACAATACAGAATAGTACATTTTAATAATTCACAGATGCCGAAAGAATTCTTTATTTAATATTAATGAGGAAAATCCGTTCAGATGTATTTGTTGGCGCTATATCGATGTTTATAATAACATACCTATGGGCGTTACAACTGCTTTATTCTTCTTCGAAGAGAGATATGAAACATTATAGTCAGATTACAAGGTAGGAGTCGAGCATTGTCTATTAGATGTATTAGCGAATACGAATTAGTTTAATTAAGGTTATTGGGTTCTAATACTGTTACAAAACATTAAAAATATATATCAATAGTTTTAACGAAATAAAATATTCTTGGCAAGTTCTAACATTAAAATATCTCGTTTTTAAGCTCTTAGAAAATCACTTAAACGTCATGATCTGTGGTTACGTTCGTGATAATATTTTATATAAATAATACAACACAAAAATGGCCGATAGAAAATGTGGCATTTGATACATTTATAATAATAACTAGCAGACCCCGCCACGCGTTGTTGTGGCTCAAAATGTATCTATTATAAATTTATAACACTTCCCCCGTAGGGGATTTTTCGAAAAATTTCTTCTTAGTGTACATTCTCTTGACGTACCCTATTAAAACGCAATCAAAAACGCAAAAACCCGCATCTAAAATAGTATAAATAGAAGCAGAGTTCTTTACCGTAAACCTTAATCCTAACCATCTCCCTTCAGTGGGGTGGAATTTCGACACGTATATTATATAAAAACACTGTGCGTATTCGAATGCAGCGTTGTGTCAAAATTTCAAAGGAATCGGTAGGAACAAACGAACATTACATTTTTATTTATATAGATAGAAGATGATCCGCTTTAGTTCATTTTCACAGAAAAGCATAATGCCTCACAGAAAAGCAAACTTAGGGCGTCGTACTCGTAGCGCCATCTATTGGACATAAAAGCATTAACCTAGATTATATCTTTTAATTTAATTTATATGAATGTTTAACGGAATAATATACAGCTTATGTCCACCCTGAAGTTCCATTCTAAATATTGGTGAAAGAATTTTTGAAATCGGATGAGTAGTTTCGGAGATTACCTGCTGCATACAAACTTACATACATACAAACATTACCTCTTTATAATATTAGTATAGATAAAGCATTTAAACTCGTTCAAATCAAAGTATACTGTGTTCTATAGTAAAACTGTATTTTTAACGTCTCCATCTTAGGTTGAGACGATTTCACAAAACACTATTTTTATCTTGTTATCTTAATCTTTTTATTAGATTAAACAAAATTTAATTAAAATTAAAATATATTGTAATTAAATTTATCCATTAATTATATAAAATAAACACAACAGTATTAAATAATAATCTTAATTCCGAAATTTTAAATAGAAAAAAAATATCAAATACTGTATGTGAGATTCTGGAAAGGAACGAAACAAAAATTTAATTTCAAATTACTATAATTAGGAGCGAAAACGCTATTGTCGAATCGGACCAAAGGTTATGTTAGTTATGTAAGGGAGACTGTAACTGTCAAACCAACGCGACGCGAAAACAAATGACATAAATAATGTTGTACAGTATAATGTTCGTTCTCGGAACAATAGCGGCGCCGCGTAAGAGTTGCTTTTCCGACATTTTGAAATCAAGCACTAATCGTTTAGTAATCCTGTGCATTGAAAGAACTGGTACTGATATCCAAATTTATTTAATGAACTCGTCTTCTTTTTGATAAAACATAACATTGCAACAGAAAAAATTTCCAAATGAATATCTTGTGAATGAATAACTTTTAATTATTAATACCGAATTTTTTCCCGAAATTCAAAGACCTGATCCTTACAATGTTCTCTACACCTGAAAACAATGGCTGTCAAAAATATTACTTGCGATTGGTTCCTCAAAGGCATTTGACAGTCAAACTCAGTTAACCTACTTTTCAATATTATTTTTTTTTTTAATTTTGCCATCGAAAGTAACATATTTTGATAAAAAAGACTCCATTCACTTCCATTCTCTCAGTTATTTTATTAGACAAAGCTTAATACATAAACCCACGAGTAACACTTTTTCCTATATTGGCTGCAATGTATCTTCGATTCTAACTACCGCTGTTTTATTTTTACTAATTTTCTCCAAATCTTCCGGAAGATTCGGAGAAAATTAACCTAATTGTTAAACGACGATCATCGAGCACCAAATCCCTGACTCGAGCGACAGGTTCATCAGTTGAAATGAATGGTCTATAAAAGCCTGGTTCGTCTTCGACGGGTTCTCTGCCTTCCTCCAACATCTTTTACCATTGGAAAATTCCTGTGTT